GGGGGGCGTGGCAGAGTCTTAACTTTGATAAAGAATATCTCTTTGGTTTTGAGACTTTAGTCTTTGCAACTTCAGGGATCTTATCTATGCACAATCAGCTTGTAACACTCCAAAGAGAAAGGAAAACTTAAAATCGCATCATATGACCCCTTTAAGTTATTCTTCAAACATTCTTCAAATGTTCTTCAATTAACATTCATAGAATGCTCGTTCAAAGTTATTTAGTATTTAATACTGTACTAAAAACAATAGCTCAACAACATTATTTATACATCGTTCATTCAACGTTTCTCTGAAACATTTTAGTTGGATGTTCATCTAACGGTGGTTCAGATGGTTCAGAGAACATTCCAAAGTAACATTTCCATAATGTTTGCAAAAAGATTAAATGGAATGTTGCATTAATGTTGTCTCTAACATAGTCCAAATAAAATGTCTTTTAAACTTTAAAAAAACTGGACATTTTGAACATTCAGAAATCATGTTTTCATTAATGGAGATATTAACAAAACATTCTTAGAACATTTTTGCAACATTATAAATGTATTTATTGTCACTTGATCATTTTAATGCATCCTTGTTTTGTGTATGTTTAAATAGAGTATCATATGTTATCTTATGACATTTTGAAAATCATTTTATACTTTTGTATAGTCTCATTATTATTATTATCATCATCATAATCATCAATGTTGAAAACAGTTGTGCTGCTTAATATTTTGATGGAAACTGCAATTTTTTTCAGGATTCACTGATAGAAAGTTGAAAAGAACAGCATTTCCTTTGCAACATTACAAACATCTTTACTGTCACTTTTGATCAGTTTAATGCATCCTTGAATGTACACGTTTAAAGAGCGCATCATATGATTGACATTTTGAAAGTCATTTTATATTCGTGTTTAGTCTTATTCATGCGTGCACAAGAGATAAACTGTGAATTTCATGTTACTGAGCTGACAAGCCTGTAAGAGGAGCCTGTCATAAATCAAGATGGTTGTGACAGTGAGAGGCAGGTGAAATTTTTTTTTTTAACCCAAAGGATAAATTGGAGCTGCTGCAGAATTGCTGACAGGTATGCAACATGCTGTAACAGCTTCCAGAGTGTAATGCTGGGTTAGGCTATACTTTAACTGTTACTTAATCAGTTGAATCAGTTACGGGAACTGTTACGGGAACCCCCCCCCCCTTTTTTTAAATAAACAGTTACAATAAGACGCAGTCTCTTTTAACATCAACAAAACGCATATGCTACAGTCAGCTGCATCCAGATCAAAGAGAAATTAAAAGTTATTGTCCTGACCCTGATACATCATCCCGGAGATTCCATGCATTTATATCTTTGGAGATATAGTCCACTGAGATGAAAAACCAGCCTCTTTTTAATCAGTTTCATCGGTATCATAAGACGTATATTACAGATAACTGTAATTCTGAGATTACTGATGAAATATTAGATGAGTTGTACAGATTCATACATTTATAAAGACATAATCAGAGATGCAGTGTGATCTCATTTAAAGATAACACCCAGACTAATAAGAAAAGAACAGATTTCTGTCTGGAAATGGTCTTAAATTGTGCTTTGTCATGCTTTCCAATAACAAGATGCAAATGATTATAAGATGATCTGCAGGTTGGCATGGATTATGCTGAAACTTTGCCAGAGGAAAAACAAAGGCTTTCATGAGTGTCCAAGCACGCATGTGGTCTCTGTGCTCACTGATACAGAAGACTCCAGAAATACAGAAAATAGTCTTGCACAAACATTGTGTATAAGATCCCATAAGAAATGTGGCAAAATACAACAATGTTCAATTCATCTGCTGGATGTGTAGTCAAATAAGCTTTATTATTTACATGTAAATCATCACAACTATTAGAGTACATGTTTTAATAACATAAATAAACATAAAGGTTTAAATCTGAAAGAAACATCTTACCAATGATCCTTTAGATCAATGTGCTTTAATATTGGTATGATTAGTACATGGTTCTGCTGAATGCTTGGTTATGGATGTGGCAAAATCAAGTGCATAGGATAATCCGAAAGTTGACTGAGCTCTTGTCTAAGCTCTGTAATATTGTTTCACCTCAATTACAAATAAATATACAGTCTAATAATAATAGTTACTATTTTAACTGTAGAATAGTAACGTTCTACACTCTTAAAAATAAAGGTTCCAAAAGGGGGGGTTTGCAGTGATGCCACTGAAGAACCATTTTTGGTTCCCCAAACCAAAAATGTTGTTTTTACAGTGTGAAGGACATTTTAATAATCCAAAGAATTTTTTTACACCATAAAGAACCTTTTGTGGAACGGAAAGGTTCCATAGAGGTTAAAGGCTCTTCATGGAACCATCGATGCCAATAAAGAACCTTTATTTTTTTTAGAGTGTAGTCTTATATCCTTCACCTCCTGATTAGACAAAGTTAACCCATTTAATCCCAAATGTTGTATTACATTCCTTGAATAGCCCAATGAACAGCATGCATGTAAATACACAAACAGACTAACAGACAAACAAACAAATAAATACAAAATGTTCCCAAATGTTGTTGCAAACAATAAAATAATATTTTAACATTTTATTTTTTATTTCAATATTTAAAAAAATAATATATTTTATGTCGTTTTGGAAAAAGGGAAAGGTAAAAATGAATTAATATTACTTTGCATTTCATTAATGTAACAATACCTTGACATTTACACTATTATGATGTGATTCAAATCAGTTAACTATTCAAAAGGGACTCTCGGTTTCCCATGGGGCAAAAATGTGACTCTATGAAAAGAGCAATCTAAATCTTACAATAATAACAGGCTATTTTAAATTTTATTACGGAATTTAAAACATTTGAAATTGTAAACATGGAATTAAACCAGAGGTCATGTGACAATTTACACCAGCCATGTAAAAATGTTCACATGAAATCAAGACAGTCTACAGTTTCATTTATTGCATGTAACCTCAACTACTCGTTTAAAACAATTCCAACTCAAAAGTACATGTAATTTGAGGGACTAAAGGAGTACAGAAAAACAATCAGCACCTTGGACAGCATCTAGAGAGAACCCCAAATCCCCATTCCTTTCAAGCACTGGCCCACTGTTGTGTTTCACCATCCACTGATTTTCACTTATAACGCATTCGTACTCAGCTGTTATTAAATTAAAGGACAGTCATTATTTAGTTTACTTTGTAAAGTCCACCATACGATGATCGTAGGAAAGGCCAATCACATCTCCCAATGTGAACAACGCGATTATAGATGCCTACTCATCTTACATATTTACAAAGACACAGAAATGAGAAAGACCTCATTCGTCCCGTTACGAGGAGCCAGTAACCCCTTCCAAAACGACTCCCTCGCGGTGTTTAGCGTCAGTGTTTGTCGGCGGTTGATGCGGTGGAGCGGGGCGAGCGACCACGGAGCGGCTCAGCGCGGGCTTCACTCTGACCGGGATAGAGGAGCCACAGTTATCCCGCTCATATTCCTCCTGTGCCCTCAGCATCTTCCTCTTCTTCATCTTGCTTTTGTGAAAGTGGTAGGTGATCAGTGACAGTAATATAACCCCTATAATGACCATTCCCAGCACCAGAAGAGCGACAGTGGATGAGAATGGCTGGAGCACGTGCTGAACTTTCTCCGCGCGCGTCCCGTTAGTCTCGGTCGCTCCGTTAAAAGCGCCCCACTTAATCTCAGACGTCTTCATTATTCGCAATCCGTGAATCCAGGTTAACAATTCCATGAAAACTGCTTAGAAATATCCGTTAGCGGCTGGATTTAGTTCAGCCAGTTAGCCATCTCTAATGAGAGCCCTGAAAATAATTCAAAAAGGAGAAAAATTAGGGTGTTTCAAACTTGAAATACGATAAACGTTAATAATTTTTTGTCTTAATAGACATCAAAAATTGCTCTCGGGAAATAAGGTGTGCTACTTAAATGTTTTATCCGTACCTGATATAACAGCCCGGTCCCGTTCACTGAATTGGTGTGGGGAAAAGGTGTTGGTTTGGAAAGATGACTTCCCACAGTCTCTGACGTAGCCTGTATTCATTACGTATTCTGCGAGGCTTCGCCGCAACCACGTTGTAAAAACCTTAGAAAGGTCGTTAACGTTTTATCGTAAGTGCGTAATAGGACAGATGTCGTTTTTCGGCGTAATAAATATTTTCACAGCGTTGCAAAACATGTTATGACGTAGTAAGCAAGTCCCCTTGCGACGTTTTAAGAATATCGTTAAAACGATTATAGAACTATAATACAACAAATGCCGTTGTTTTTGTCACACACTTTTCACAGTAAAGTGCTTACCGATAACATAAACCAGCATTAGGGAGAGAAAAAAAGTGAAATCAAATATGAAACTTTACTGTTAATGATATAATTTGTCATGAGGTAAAAGTGCCTTACCTCAGAAAGCCGTTCTGTCAGACTCACTGAGCGCGCGCGCTGCTCCAGTCACTTCAATAACCACAATTTAAGTGAAATCTCTGGCAGTCGTGGTAAAATGAGTTAAATTTGCCATTTAAGTGTGTATAAGAGTTCAGATTTACGTAAACAGCAGCCCCGGAGAGCGTTTTCATTAATCTCAGGATCCAGTGCGTGCTCCCCGATCATTTTTCGCCATTTATTTTTAATGACGCATGAGCGTTGGACTACTCATTCTGCCAAAGGAACATTTGGAGCACCAAAGACTAGTGAATCAATGAAGTGCTCCAGTAAACACTTCACAGAGAGGAATCGCGTGGACATGCATGTAAATGAGACAACAGCCAACAATAACAAATTTCCAGAAAGACACAACTAGAGAGAAGGTGCTGTCCAGTGCTGAAAATATCCTGTAGCTGTAAATTACATGCATACAACAGGGTGCATTTTTTAATGCCAGTTTCTTTGGGGTTTTAAACATTGTATCAGACAAAGAATGTCCAAGAAATTTCATTGTGCTATGTCTTAAAGCCCTAAAGTAACAGGGCTGACAGTTTTATATTTTATAGCTAGCCTTATAATCACAGTCTTAACACTATAATTGTTTACTAGAAAAAATAATTTTCTACAAAGACCCAGTTTTAAATAATCACTTTTTTTGTTGTCCAAACTCATGGTAACATGGACGACTATTTAAGAATTATTTTAAGATAGTTCACCCAAAAATAAAATTTACCTGAAAATGTACTCATCCTCAGGGCATCCAAGATATAGATGAGTTTGTTTCTTCATCAGAACAGATTTGTAGAAATTTAGCATTACATCACTTGCTCACCAGTGGATCCTCTGTAGTGAATGGGTGCCGTCAGAATGAGAGTCCAAACAGCTGATAAAAACATCATCCACATGACTCCATTCCATCAATTAACGTCTTGTGAAGCATTAAAACATCTATCCATAATATTGCTTTCTTCAGTGAAAAAAAAAAATTTTCCGACTCGTTTTTTGGCCAGAAGCGACAGTTTAAAGTTATAATGCCTTGAATGATTTGTTTCTTACAAAAACACAGATTTTCACTTCACAAGACATTAACTGATGGACTGGAGTCGTGTGGATTACTTGTGGACTATTGTGATGTTTTTATCAGCTGTTTGAAATCTCATTCTGACAGCACCCATTCACTGCAGAGGATCTATTGGTTGTCAAGTGATACTCCTTTCTTCTGTGGAACATACAAGAAGATATTTATAGCAGACTGTCCGAGCTTGTCTCTTCTATACAATGAATGTGAAGGTTATCATGGCTTTTTCAAAGCAACATTTTAAGTGAATAATGACTTAAAGGGGTCATATGATGTTGCTAAAAAGAACATTATTTTGTGTATTTGGTGTAATGAAATGTGTTTATGCAGTTTAAAGTAAAAAAAACACATTATTTTCCACATACTGTACATTATTGTTTCTCCTCTATGCCCCGCAAATCGCATCATATGACCCCTTTAACTATTGAGCTCTTTTTCATGTAATATAGCGCTCAAGATGTATGGACTACCATTATGGTAGCCCATACATCTTTTAATGTAATTTTAATGGTGCTTTTTGTCTTTTTTTGGTCTTCACCCACTTTTATTGCATGGAGGAGAACTGCTAAACTTCCAAAGAAAAAAGGCACAAAAGTTCAGAATGACGTGAGAGTAAATAATGAGTATTTTAAATTTTGAGGTAAGCAATTTCTTTAACAATCCTTTTTTGTTAAGTAAAATAATAGCTGCAATCTGAATTTGTATAATCATTAACATACATGCACATTAAGCTCTGGGTGCACAATGCTACAGAGAAACGACTGAAGGGCTACACACTCCTCAGTGCTGAAACAATCATTAGAGGGGAGAAATAGCACCAAGGGAAATAGCTTTCCATGCAGGATGAAGGCGCCTAATAAACCCACGTCTGTGATGGATGACTCTGCACCCACAAACCCAGAACACAAAGAGAATCTACACAACACAGTCATACACAAACACAATACATCAAGGTGCATGCCTGTCTCATCCACGACAACACTACGAGTACCGCCTGCCTGCAGTTGTTCGGTAAAGGTGATAAGTGATAAGAATCAAAGACGAATAAACAAGTCATCTCCAAACTACACAGAGAGATTAAAAACAAGCCCACTGTGAAAAGAGCCATTCCCTTTCATGCCTCCATCATGTATGTCCAGTATACTGGATAGCACAATTAAATGTGCATTAAAAGTGTCAATTTAAGTCGACATGAAATCAAAAGGAAAGTTTCTTGGCTTTTAGTACAAGTATGTTAGCCTAATGAATTTGAAATAAGTCTCATCAAGGCTGAATTTATTTGACTGAAAATATAGTAAAACAGTAAGTGTGTGAAATATTATTACAATTTAAAATAATCTGAACACACACATATAAAATTATAATGTGAATAATTGAAAAAAAAAAAAAAAAATATATATATATATTCAATTATTCACATTACAGACTTGAGTCTGTAATCACTGTGAAAGATGTTTCAGGTACTGAGTTAAGGGTATGAATACTTATGCAATGTAATTATTTAAATTTTTCCTTTTTATTAAATTCACAAAGCTACCTCAAATCTGTTTTTTTGCTTTGTCATTAAGGTGTATGAAGTGTAGATTGATGAAAAAGCAATTTAACATAAGGCTGAAACAACAAAATGTTCGTCAAAATGTCGTGGCCTAATGGTTAGAGAGTCGGACTCGTAACCCAAAGGTTGCGGGTTCGAGTCTCGTACCGGCAGGGATTGTAGGTGGGGGGGAGTGAATGTACAGCGCTCTCTCCCACCTTCAATACCATGACTGAGGTGCCCTTGAGCAAGGCACCGAACCCCCAACTGCTCCCTGGGCGCCGCAGCCAAAAAAAATGGCTGCCTACTGCTCCGTATGTGTGTTCACTGCTGTGTGTGTGCACTTTGGATGGGATAAATGCAGAGCACTAATTCCGAGTATTGGTCACCATACTTGGCCACATGTCACATCACTCACTCACTTTAAAAATGAATTGAATATATACAATTTCTGAATTATTAATATAAATAATTTAATATTATTATTTTAAGAGAAATTAAATTCAATCCTTCCCTAAAAGCGATGGCTAGCTTTAGATTTTTATTTCCATCCTGTTAAATCTCATTACTTATAATTGTTTAAGTATGTAAACTTGACCAGCACATATTTCTGAAAGACTGGTTTACCCTTTTATAGAAATATGTCTTTAAACTACTACTCAAGCATATTTATTTTTTAAAACTCATTGTGTACTGTGTAACAGGAATGACCCAGGATATCCATGTTAAACAGTGGCTGTATTAACATAATGTGCATTGAAACCCATGTCATTATGGAAAACCAGCAGCCAAATGAGAGTGGGCGAATGATTAGATCTCGAGAACACTTTGAGAAGCTGTTAACGGATCTGACAAAACCATAAGGTCACCATTGCACAATGCAAATTATGCTGGATTTAGGGATTGTGCCAAAATAGGACAAGCAGTGAAATTTAAAAAAAAATATATATTTCATTGGTAACAGAATAGCCAAGACAACATAATTTCATTGAAATACAGCTGCAGCATAGGCTACTTTGCATGTGTGCATAAGAATATATGCTTCTAGGTGTTATATCTAAGCCAATTAGCCATTATTTGGAACCTCAATGAAACAAATTTAAAAACGTGAGCAGAAACGCAGAAAGAACTGCTTTGAAAGAACTAGAAGAAATAACTGCTACCATACTTTACAAGTGAGAGGAAACATGCAATATTTGCAATATGCAATATGCAGACAAACTCATGTCATTCAAAAATGCTGTGCTATCACCCTTTATAAACTACTTTAGTAACAAAGACAAAATCATTTTATAGAAAAAAATGTTGTACTTTAAATGAAAAAAAAAATGTTGTATGTTAAATGTTAAGTTTATAATATGCATAGTTGATCTCTAAATTTAGGGGCTGTGTGCGCTATTGGCCTACAGACTGATTTACAACACGTGAATTCATTCATTTATCCTGAAAGAAATTAAAGTGACATGAGTGCCTGGTCCAGAGGGAGAAAAATGTAGTATATTTTATAGTTATATATTCAATGCTCATTTTGTGAAAGAAACACTTCTTCAAATTATATTTTAAATGATCACTAGGCCTATTGCCGCTTGCCCACTTCAGACATTAGGCCTAATGTGCATTTTTTTCCTTCAAATTATAGCTAAATGGTTTGCAATTATTAATTTTAAATCTAGATTAAATCAAGGTTTATCTAATAATTCTGTAGCACCAAATTTTAAACCTTTAAAAATAAGCAGGTTTACATTTTAACCCATCATTTTGATCCTGGATTTAAATTATAGCCTATTTAAGATTAACTTTAATCCTGTTGCACCATAAATTTAAACTCATATTTAAATCTCGATTGTGGATTAACTTTAAACTTAATGGAGGTTTAAATAAAACAAAATGCACATGCAATTAAAATATGTAACTGATTGAACAAAAAAAGTGGAGATCTGACAAAAAAAGGTGTCATTACAAATAAAAATGAAAATTAAGTTAGAGTTGGCAGAGTGCGAGGTTCATGGCAGGATGACCATGATGCGGATCCATCACTCATGGTCCACCTCGGTGTCGGACAAACAAAGAAGCGGTCACGGTGATGATGAGGCGAGCTCCAGTGATCGCGGCCGCGCCTCTTGTTTCTCATGCCCGCTCCGTGTGTCTGCTGGGCGG